TCAAAAAAGGAAAGCTTGTAGATGAAGACAAATTAAAAGAAAACAGAAAAGCTTTTGTCTTTCGTCCCGAGAAATAATTAATTAATGCTAATTACTACTGAGTATTCCTATACTACTAAAAAGAAGTTTCTAAAACCAATTTGCACTGAAAACATTCAAACGCCCCTCATCGATGAAGGATTTCAAACTCTACACGATAGAGTGCTTGTTTCTCCTGTTTATTTTCTACAGAAAAAAATTGCAATTTTCTCGGTTCTACAACGTTCAATTTGGTAACTTCACAAAAATGCTTTTTTTTCTTTCTTTTTGTATAACAGAGTGTTATAATAGACCTGTAGCAACAAATGTAAATGTTAAAACTTGGGTCAAAAAAGATACATTTTAAATGTAAAATGTATCCTTTTTGACCAAAGTTTTAACATTTACATTTGTTGCTACAGGCCTAATATAGATTGATCATGTTTAAGTGAAAATGTTGAGGATAGATAAAAAATGAATTAAGCCTGAAAAAATCTAACAAGTGTAAAACCGAGAATTTCTGCCTCAAAATGTTTTTGAACAAGGTGATATTGTCAAAGTTAAAAGAGGTTCGTAAAACTAATATTAAGAATTGATTGTTGATCAATATTCTCTTGAATTGACTGGTGGAACATGAAGACCAAGACTTTGCAAAACATCTAAATAAACACTGGGATGATTTTGATTTGGGCCTCCATTTCCTAATTCAACAATATAAATCGAAAATAATTTTGATTGAATTTATGACATTGGTCCTTAAGGAATTCCACGTAAACAAGCCTCATCTGTTAAATGATATGGTTCTCGTTGAATTAAATAGGTTGTTAAATGAAGTTTTGTTGGTGCTTACCGATAATGAGAATCAGATGATTACTGGTTGACCTACATCACACCCTGAAGACAAAATTATTTTTATGAAAAAAGAAAAATCTTTTTCAAAAGAATTTACAGTCAAGATATTTTTCTTTGAATAATCTTTCAAATCTAATGTTTGATTAATTTTTTCTTTATCATATCGAATATAAGTAAAATATTGTGGAAAATGTGGATTATCTTCACGACCAACCATCATATGTTTACCTGCTTCCAAATGCATTCGTTCACTCAATTCTAAAGAAAAAAGAAACAGCAGAATATTTTAATATGATGAAAAAAAATTCTTTTTGATGAATAATCATCAACACTTTTTTCATTTTGATCTGTTTTTATTAACAGTTTCTTTTTCTTTGTCTGATAATAGCAGAATTTCACTATGAAAACGATCGACTCTATGACGTTTTATTCAAAACATTGGATACTAATATGAGACAATCAGTATTAGTCATAAGAAAAGTCTCCGATTGATAGTCTGACTTGTTATGAGACTCTAAAAAAATGTACGAGATGCAGAATTCAATTCTCTATTCAATGCTGCCATTTTCGATTAATGTTGTTAGTCAAGAAATGTGTTTAAAAGCTCAAAAGCTTTGAATATGTATTAAGATGAACACAAAAAATGTTCTGTAATTATTATTCGTGTGTTTTTTTACATCTGTTATCGAGCGTACAGCATTTCACGATCGTTATTGTCCATCAAGTATTTTCTCGTTTGGTATTTGTTTTCTAAAATCTATTTACAGTTTGAATAATAGCCTTAAGAAAATCGTGCTAGTCGTTGTTAAGAGGTGAATCATCAGAGTTGTTATTATATTAAGAGTGATTATGTCATGCATGCAATAACATGTCACGTGGTCTGCTTCACATCGATATCATTTGTATGTACAAAAGAAAAGTATAAGTTAGATTCTTTGACCTAGGAAAAGAAAAAGAGAAAAACTAGCGATGATCGTTCCAGACATAAACTTGTGACTATAACTTGCTGATCATTAAAAAAGTGAACAAAATGGTAAGTTAGTAATTGTTTACATTCAGCCTGTCTGATTAAGCCTGATAAAACAAGTTTTTTGATTTTAATAAACTTTTTTTATGAATACCGTGTTAAGTGTGATATTTTTAGAACCGTTATAATCGATTAATGGATGTATTCAGAATGCTAATGGTCATTATACGCATAGGGTTTTATGTCGCACAGTTAGGAATACTAATTGATTTTACAAGTTATGGAGCATGTTGTTATTGGCGAATAAATTACCATCGTCTTTTCTTATGACTCCTAGTGAAATTCAAGCGAAAGCGTTTATGCAGGGGTGGCACATTTTCTTTACTGATGCATTACTTTACTGAGTAAAGTAACGCTTTCAAATATCACCGTATAAGTGACGAACAACCGAAAATGTATTGTTTTATCACCTTCCGGGCACAATGCGACTAAAGCGTTACTATATTATGCGTTACTAGTAACGAGTAACGCATGCGTTATTGCGTTACTAGTAACGAGTAACGCATGCGTTATTGCGTTACTGGTAACGAGTAACGCATGCGTTATTGCGTTACTGGTAACGAGTAACGCATGCGTTGTTGCGTTACTGGTAACGAGTAA